TATATATATATATATATATATATATATATATATATATATATATAACTTTTCTTCTGTTTAAAAAATATTAATAGACAGAACAAGAAACCTAAATCTATTTATGCAGTTTTATAGATGGCATCTAAGGATGAGAGTTAATGAATACTTCAGGACTACCCAAAAACTCATAAGTAACTTGAGACTGTGTGACATGTTTCTTGTATCAAAGTCTAAGTCTTTTATTCTTGGTATCAGTAATATTTTACACATACACGCTCATATAACTTAGGCAAAAAGCTGTACTTTTATTCTTAACAATTGTCAAGAAACAGAACGACAATATTACGTTGAGATTCATATAGATCTCCTATGGGCAAGAAAGGGAGGCAGGTTAAGTCACAGTAAAGAAATATCTGTATGATGATGAAGTATATAGAACTTTGTCCCATTAGAGCCATACTTCAACATCATAAATTAATTGAAATCAGGATTATGCATAATACTTAATATCTTTATAGCAAAGAGTCCAACAAAAGCATAGGCTTCCTAGGTAACTGAATAAAGGATTACAAACAAATATTATCTTACCTTATTTGAGATAATGTTTTTTTTTCCTTTTGTCAGACCATGTTAGAAATTTTTTAAGATGTCGCAAGCAAGTCGAAGTGCACTGCATTATAGAGAAGTTTTTTTGTATTTTGTTGCCAGGTTTAAGTTTGACACATATATCCCAAATAGTTTTTAGAAGTTCCTGTTTGTTGAGATAAACTATTAAACAATCGCCTTCCTCCACCATCTTATTCATATGCCAAAACTTTGTATTTAATTTGCATGGTGTGATTTGCCAAATTTTTAAAAAAATGTACAATGGTAGATGAAAAGTCAAAATTAATCTATTCGCTTTTGTAGTTATAACAATCTGATCTGACTGATGTGGGTAATAGGTAATAAAAATATTACACTGATATAACAGTGTTAAGCACAAAGTTCTTCTTTTAAATGGGAACTTTAAAAATAAAAGGGTAGAAGATATCTCTTTGCCTATTTTTTCCCTGCCTCTAGATAATATTTTAAAAGCAAGATTTTGTTTGTAAGATATATTTTATTTGAATAATTAGTATGTTTAGAACAGGAGTGTCAAACTCAAGACCCAGGAGCCAGATCCGACCCTCAGAGTGCTTAGATCTGCTCGCAGGGCTGCCCTGGAAACAGTAAAGAACTGCCCCGCGTTGTCTCTGCCAGTAAAAATGGAGCATAGGAGGGCCACACACAGCCCTCCCGAGCTCCGTTTTTGCTAGCAGAGGGTTGCAGAAGGCCTTCACAGCCCAAAATGGAGCTCGGGAGCCCATTTTCGCTGGCAGAGCTGGTCACACCCACCCTGCTGATGAGGCCCTCAATGAAATCGAGTTTGACACCTCTAGTTTAGAAGATTAAGCATTATTTTCCTTCAAGCAGGGAGCTAAGATCCAAACATCGACAAAATTAAGACTTGTTGGGTTCTTGATCATTATTATATACTCTTCCTAGTATTTCTCTATCTGATTTTATAATGGAAAGTCTTAATAAGAAAATGGAAACTATAATTTGATAAAACTAGAGTTATGGAGACAAATACGGCTTTACAAACCTGGATGTTTTAGCAGAACAATTGAGTTGGCAGGAATGGCTGCAGCCTGGATCCAATTAGCTTTCCTTGATGGTGTGAATTAAGGAAAATTTAGTGGATGATTGTGGGAGAGAGAAAGAGAGGTGACTGAAAAGGGCTGGTCAACACTGATACATTTATCATAGCAGCACAAAAACAGGCACTAAGCACCAGATCCATAGAGGTAGAGGTGTCCGACACTAGACAGGGTTCATGGTGCATACTAGGCGGAGAAGCCTCAGCAACAGTACAATGCATAGTGTCAGAGTGTAAGATGAAGACAGAAACAGCATACGCGGAATAGCATAACCAAGTAATTGGCATTGTGTATAGGAACATATGCACAGCATATGAATTAGACCTTTCCAAGTCCAGATGGGAGATTCCACAGAAGACCTGGAAAATAATAAGCCTAAGATCTTGTGGGACTTCCAGATCCAGATGGACAGGCAGATATTGGCCAACCGACTAGACCAGAAGACAACGATAGATGCAGTGGTGCCAAGGGACATCAAGATCAGGAAGAATGAGTATGAGGAGCTTAAGAAATAACAGTGCCTGAAGGAAGAACTAGAGATGATGTGGAAAGTAAAAGCCAAAATGATCCCAGGGCTGATAGGAGTATTCAGGTCTGTGACTCCTAAGCTAGGAGAATGAATGGAATAAAATAACAGAGTTGGGACCTTGGAGGTCTTCTAGTCCAACCCTCTGCTTAGACAGGAAACCCTGTACCATTTCAGACAAATGGTTATCAAACATCTTCTTAAAAACTTCCAATGTTAGAGTTCCAGTGTTCACAACTTCTGGATGCAAATTGTTGCAGTGATTAATTGTTCTAACTGTCAGAAAATTTCTCCTTAGTTCCAGGTTGCTTCTCTCCTTGATTAGTTTCTACCCACTTCTTCTTCTGCTCTCAGGAGCTTTGGAGAATAGCTTGACTCCCTCTTCTTTGTGGCAGCCCCTGAGATATTGGGACACTGTTATCACGTCACCCTTAGTCCTTCTTTTCATTAAACTAGACATACCCAATTTCAGCAACTGTTCTTTATATGTTTGAACCTCCAGTAACTTAATCATCCTTGCTGCTCTTCTCTGCACTTTTTCTAGAATATTTTTTTACATTGTGGTGACCAAAACTGGATGCAGTATTCCAAGTGTGGCCTTACCAAAGCATTATAAAGTGGTATGAACACTTCACGTGATCTTGATTCTATCCCTGTGTTTATGCAGCCTAGAACTGTTGGCTTTTTTGGCAATTGCAGCACACTGCTGGCTCATATTTAAATGACTGTACATTAGGACTCCAAGATCCTTCTCACAGTTGCTACTATTGAGCAAGGTACCATATATACTGTACCTGTGCATTTTGTTGACCTTGCCTAAACGTTGAACCTTACTTTTTTCACCATTGAATTTCATTTTGTTAGATAGTGCCCACCCAATGTCAAGATCCTTCTGTATATTAAGCCTATCTTCTGGAGTATTGGCTATTCCTGCTAGCTTGGTGTCATTTGCAAATTTGATGAGTTCTCCATTTGTCCCCTTGTCCAAATCATTGATGAAGATGTTGAAGAGAATGGCTCCAATAGACTCCAGGAAGAACATCAGAGAAGTCTGTCCAGAAGAGTATAGTGCTGGGATACCTCACAGATACCTGCTAAGACACCTCACAGAACCTCCAACTCCCAAGACTCTGGTAGAGGCTGAAGATGACACATATCACCCATATGGATGAGAAGGGACTTTTACTTTATTTTAATGTACTTCCTTATTTATAGTGAAAGCTAGAGCTACATCAAAGTTTTCCATAGTAGCTCCCATTGGTACATTGTTTCTCTCATTTAATCTCTGCTCATTCTGCATCTTCTGCAAAGGCACAAACATATATTCTCAGAATATAAAGAATGTATACAGCTTCTATCATATTCCATTTGCATAAGGCTTGGAGGGATTGTCTGTTGCTGCTTTGAAAATGCATTCTTTTTAAAAAAAATCTAAAACCATTGCAATTCTGGCTTTATTTATGTTTTCAAAGAAGAAGTACCATTAATTAAATAAATACCTATTTCTTTTCTTCTGATTCATCCTAATTTTTCTTTTTCATCTTAATCACCTCTATCACATCCTACCTTTTCCACAGCCCTTCAGGCAATCCTTCACCATTTTGCTCATTAGATACAGGGTGGAAGTGGCTACTAATGTGATAAGAAGGGACATTATTACCTCCAGTGAAAGTTTTAACTTCCTTTTAATTTCAACCACTTGTGTCCTTTGGCAATTATTGCCACCACTTGGCTTTTTCCTTTTCCAGTAATAAATACTTTTTTTTTTGCTATTCTACCTTTGTCTAAAAGAGAATGGGGAATCCGAGTACTATATTCACTCTTTTATCATCAAAGATATCATTTTTAGTTCTAATATAGGAAAGAATAAATCATCTGATTTTGATGTCTCAAATTAAATTCCTTTGATATCTCCTTCACTTAATGTGATGCTCTACACTGGCCTTGAATCTTTGTAAAGGATATGAGAAATAGGCATTTTTCTTTCATTGTTTATTGGCTTTTGTTTGCTCATAGTTGAGGAATGGCTCCTCCTGTTCCTTCACAGAAAGGTTTTATAATTCAAGGTGTATGTTGTGAAAGGATGCCTTTAAAGCAGTGGCCCCAACCTTATGGGCACCAGGGACTAGTTCCGGGCTGTGGTTTTGTGTGCTGCCTATAACCCATGGATGGGGTTTCGCTTGTTTTCATGGCCCAGTTTTGCAGACTGGTGCCAGTCCACGAACCATTGGTTGGGGACCCCTACTTTAAAGAACTGGATTGGTTTGGGAGATTGTGACAAGCATGTTAGAGTAGGGAGACTTTAGATGCAATAGTTGCCTTACACCGGAAGATATTCAGTTTTAATCTTTCAGTTGTCAGGCCCACATGGGAAGATCCAATTAAATTGATTTATTGTTAATTGTGCCTATGCACAGGAATCTTCTCAACTAACAGCACCTATTTGGATTTAGATAAGGATCTACGAAATTCAAGGGAGGTTGGACTTAGGGATTCTAGGTTGATCCCTCTTTTAATTCCACCTCCAGGTTCTGCCACTCCTTCTCCTACATAAGCTCTGTTATTAATATTACTGATCCTGACCTAGTTTAAGAGTTGTTAAATTATCATTTTGCTGCAGTTGTATATGAACTTTCTTGGACTGCCAATGTTGTTCTGTTTCGGATCAGGTGGCACAACAGTTTATCAGGCTGGATTATAATTCCCATTATAAAATGTGGGAAACCTTTCGTATGGGTAGGAGAGGCTACTGGTATATGTTAGTAGGATAGAAAGTGTTACTACTATTCATTGTGCCTGAAACATCATATTTGAAGTACTGCACCATTTCCTAATCTGTTCTTATTTGAAGAGGATCTTCACAGTGCATTCCTTCACTTCCTCTGACCATGGTAAAAAAAAATATTTCCCTCTTTCTACAGTGCCTTTTCTCATTAATGTAGATATATTCCTGGGAAGAGAAATGATGTTTCTTCTAATTATGGTTACATATAGTTAATTTCCTTTTTAAAAGCTTGGTGTGAAAGACAGTTACTTTTATAAAGCTCAGGAAAAAAAAGTGATATAGCTGATGTTCCTGTTGCCGTAGCAACAGATTTATTTATTAGGGTCTGAAATGACATGAGTTAATATACCACATACCTGCTGATCGGCAAACTCTCCTTATTTCAGCTTCAGTTGACAATTAAGTCCTGGACAGCTACAGCCAGGGGTTAATGTTACTCATTAGGAGAACTAGGTCATTACTGGGAAATCAAGGCACTTACAGTAGCATGAATAAAATACAAAATTCAACACCTCCACGAGTGAAGGGTTTTTATGTTAATTAACCTTATTTTCCTTGCATGGAAAAAATATTTCATATGTGCATATGACAGAGGATCAATTAATTGAAAAGTAAGCATTTGCTGCTTCCCCTTCTCTTGGTTGTCTTCATTTCCTTTGGAAGAGTTTCATTATTTTAGGGAAAATTCTTATGTCTATATGATGAGTAAAAGAGGATATTAAAATTAAGAAGGGAATCATCATGGAAATCAGCTTTACCACAAGGGAACGAGAAAATAAAAGCCGTGGAAATGAAAATAAATAAGCTTTGCTAATACCTCACCTAAGGAACAGCATATAAGCTCAGCAGAGCTTGGAGATGTTCAGGGGTATTCTGTCTGTTAAGCAGTTACATACTTATCTGACCTTCAGAAAGTCTAAATTTGAATAGCTAAATATATGTTTGAGATGGTAGCTATCTTGTTCTCAGAAAAGTATTCAGCAAGTTTAGCAATATCATACTTTTGTGTATGGTTTTAGGAGATATTACACATACTGTATATGCCATATGTTTTATTTGGTTATTTGGCAAGGATTTCTAACTTACAAGTGGCAAAATGAAACTCTGTTATGTTTACTCTCCAGCATTTTCTGTTCTGCTGCATAATAATTATATTCTTATATTTTTACATTCTTTATTATATCTTTATATCAAAATTTTCTACTCAAGGACTTTAGGTGTTTTCACATCATATTTCTAGATTCCCTTTACTTTGTACAAGTTAAGGTAGTATACATAATTCTCCCATCTCCTATTTTCCACACAACAACCACCCTGTATGGACTGATCCAAAGTCATCCAGCCAGCTTTCACACCCAAGGAAGGACTAGAGTTCCTGGTCTCCAGGTTTCTTCTAGTCCATACATCTACTACTGTTCTTTTCTGATTTATGCATAAAATATTGATAGGTACAAGTGAGGGACCCATAAAATGGTTCCAGAACTCTAGAAAAAAATATTTACCTCTGTAACAATTCAAAAAATATATCCTAATTATTTTGTTTATCTTCAGATATGAGTTGCTTCGTAAGGGTTTATATTGCAGGATCAATGCTGAATCTGATTATTCTCAGTTTCTTCTTGAATATCATTATGCTCTCCTTCTTTCCATCCATCCATCACATTTTTGCCTGAAAACTATCATATATTTCCTGAAAAGCAAGTAAGCTCTGTCTTGAATCACATGAAATACCTATTGTGCTCTTCCTGGCAAAGTAGTTATAAGTGTTCTCTGATGTATCTCTGTTTGTGTGTGTCCCCGTATTTGTACTTCACTCTATTCCTCACTTTCATGTATAGCTATAACACTTAGACTTATATGTCACTCCATAGTGCTTTACAGAGTCAGCATATTGCCCCCAACAATCTGGGCCCTCATTGTACTGATCTCGGAAGGATGGAAGTCTGAGTCAACCTTAAGCCAATCAGGATTAAACTCCTAGCTCTGGGCAGAGTTAGCCTGCAATGCACTGAGCCATCCTGGTATGATTAGTAGTACAAAGCAATATTTTTTTCGAGTGTTGCAGCAGCCATGATGCCAAAAGTGGGGAAGGTGCATGGTGAAGATCTTCCTTGTGAATTTGTCTATTACCAGAAATGGTCTTCTACAGTTGACTGGATATGAATACCTGTTCCCGAGGCTA